CACACATGCTAGGCAAGCACTCTACCACTGAACAGGTGAACTACATCCCCAGCCCACCAACCTAATATACTTCTTTAGACTTACCAAGTTAGCCTAATTATCTTCTCTGTGAGGAAACTGGGCAAATCTACCTTTCTGCTATGGTATTTAGTCATTCCAGTAGACAGGAAGATGACAAGATGAGAAAAACCACATAAAGAGGAAATGCTGTCCTTGCATTGGATGAGCTGAGCCATTGTTAAGAACATCATAGATATATTGCTGATGGTGACAAACTGAAATCATAAACCAAGTCTCTAAGATACAGAAACACTCAAGTCTTCAACTGAGTGCTCTGCTTTGCTTTTCTGCAACAGGGTCTTTGTTATGTAGTTCAGCCTGGCCTCAAACTCGTGGCAATCCTCCTGCCTCAGCCTCCCAGAGTGCTGGGATTACAGGCAACCAACAGCCACAGTAACTGAATTAAACAGGCTGACTCACATCTACACTATCCTTTCTCCTTCCATCCAAGGAAATCATACTTTCCTAGTCAGACAGGAGGGAATAAAAAACTATAAGATTAATTTAAAGGAGATGAGAGTTAAAAAAAATTTCATGGATATTCCTTGGAGTCAGGTTCTAATCTTGCTTGATCCAATGCTCACCTTGATGTCTATTTGCTTTAATGTATAATGTGAGCATTAAAATTAATCTTACTATTTTATGACTACAGTAGACTTCTTGAGACATTGGTTTTAAGGATATTATGTTGTTTCCCTTAAATTTCTCGGAATTATTTTATCCCCTGGTTGGTTGTGGGAAAACAGGTATTCCTACAACAGAAAATATGAGCTTCATAACCCAAGGTTCAAATTCTAGCTGAGTTTGAGGAAGCAGATTCTTAAATGCTAGCTAATGTATGCCTACACACCCATATTTTCAAGCCCAGTTTCAGGGAATTTGAAACAAAGAGGTTTCAAAGTTCATCTTATATCAGCAAGGCTTAGCATTTCCACCTAAGCTTTAACTAAAGCCAACATCAAAAAACAGAACTGTAACATGTAAGGTGGCAATGCTTATCAGTTTGACATCAAAGAAAGGCTCAATTTTGATGTATCCACATTATAAATATAAAACCTTATGCTGAAGCCTATACACACACCTTGTACCATAACAGTTCAGCTTTTAGCATAGTTAAGACTAGTCTACACTGTTTTCTCAACAAACTTACAAGAACTATAATCTTTTCAAATCAAAGATAGCTTTCACCCACGTTATACCTTCTCATGATCATAGTACTATTTGAATTATGACAGATAAAGTATGAACACAGCTTTCAAGAGTTAAGATTACTAGGATATTCTTCATTTAGTAAATTAGGTCTTAAGAGCCTGAAAGAGAATGTTAATGCAGCCTTTGAAAGATATTCAACCAAAAATAGTTTAAGGAAACAAGAGACTCATTATCTATGCTACCATCTAAGGCTTTAGGGTAGGATAAACAGTACTTTTGTAACATGCAAATATTTTCAATTGTGTAATTTATTTAATTTTGAATTTTGAGACTTGTATAGCTATAAAGAACGTTATTAAAACACACATGAAATAGATAAAGTAAACAAAAAGCCACAAACCTTTTGTTCTCCAACACTTTCTTTAAACAGTTGGTACTCAGTAAACATTTATTGAATAACAGCCAAGCGAATAATTCCTAACTGTATCTGAAAGGAATTGAATCCCCTAAGTGGTATGCTCACACACATACATAAGCAGTGTCCATGATTAGCTACTGCCAAAAGATATAATTACAGTAGTTCCTCCTTATTCAAGAGGATACATTCCAAGACCCCCAGTGAATACCTGAAATCAGATGGTACCAAACACCACATACATTCATGTTTTTTCTATACATACATACCTCTGATAAAGCTAATTTATAAATTAGGCAAAGAGTAACAACAACTAATAATAAAATAAGTATAACAATATACTGCAATAAAAGTTATTTACCACAATTATTTCTGAAATTTTCCATTTAATATTTTTGGACTGCAACTGACCACTGGTAACTGAAACTGTGGAAAACAAAACTTTGGATAAGGTGGGAGGGACTGCTATAAATTCACCTAAGGGACAACACACTTCTTTCGCTCAAGTCATGGTCAATGAAAGACTTCTAACTTGTGTGTTTTAGACTGGAGATGTACAAGCCATTACAGTAAAAATTTGGGACTATCTTGGCTTTTGGCCAAGAGAATTTAATCTCTGACAGAATCCACAAGATTTTATAACACTCTCACCTATACATAAAATATAGGATAATCCCTAAATTCAAATGATAAGAGTATTAACATAGGAGACAGGAAATAAAGTATTAAGGCATTCATTTTTAATCTAAATGACATGACTCAATCTATGACTGTTTAACTTCAAATTGATTTTGAGCAATTTCAAATAAATCTACTTTTAAACAGAATAGCACTATTGCTCAGACATTTAAAGGTTTTTCTCTTTAAATTCTACATATTTAATTTCTTCCAAGAAATTTAAACATCACTAAATATTAAGCAAAAAAAAAAAATGGTGTAACAGAATAACTTGTGTCTTGGAGACAGTTTGCACTTTCTTTATTCAGTATGTGTTGTTTTCATTTTTTCCCCTAACACTACATTTCACTAAATTGTCGGCAAAGAACATATCAGCTATCTATATAACTTTTTAAAGCTCCCGACTTATGTTACAATTAATTGCCTTGACATATCAACTATATTGCTATGAAGCAGCAATAAATACACAGTTCCTTGATGAATGTGAGCGACAATGTCTAAGCCACAAACTACATCTTTTCATTTAGTTACTTCTAGGCAGCAACTCAGGTGGTATTTAGAACAAACAAGTTTAAATCCACCCTAGGATGATATGGTACTGAAAATCAGAATAAAGATTGGTTCTACTGATTTAGTGCACAAACATCATTCATTAGTGCTCTCTGAGCCAAGTGGAACCCTACCCACCCATCTGGTAAATTTAAAAATAAAGACTTTAATATCTTTAGTATTAATTAAAAAGATAACATACTCTAGCATCATCACTAAATACATGATGATCAAGAGAATCCTCTTCCAAAGCCAAAAGTTGACTCCAGGAAGATGCATCACTGGCCTTCAAATTAAGCACAACTGGGGATAGTATTAATATGAAGAATGGGTGTGGCTAATCTGGACCTGCACAACTAGTAAGTAGTTTCTGGAAGGCGATTGAAGATCTTTCACTGATTTGCAACCATTACTACAGGGCAGTGATGACGAACCTTTCAGAGGTCTCAGTGATATGAACAGCCTGCTGTGGCACATGTGCCACAGGTTCGCCATCACTGCAGTAGCAGCCGGGCCCAGTGATTACACGGGCTCATTCTTGAGCCAAACTCTGGGTTCTGAACCAGCAACGTACTTAACCTCTCCATGGCTCTGTTTAGTCACTAGGTTGTTGTCAGGATTCAGTAAATTAAATCATATAAAACTCTCAGGAAAGTGCCTGGCACAGAGGTAAAGCAAATAACTACTGTACTGGCTGTTGACAAATATTTGCTGGTCTTCAGTGTTGGGTAGCACGATCCAACTGCCTTCAAAAAGATGTCATTTTATACACCAGTGATGATAAACATAAACATTTACTGAGTACAAACTATTCTAAGCACTACACATACAACACTTTCGCTAAGCTAAGGTTCTGCTATGATCATTGCCTGATACCCTACAGACTTTTCAGCATCGGCTTTTCATGTTTTCACCTGATTTCCTTCCTCAGCAGAACTGCAGCTTCTACTCTGATGACTTACATACATACTGCCTAGTGCTGCTCACCAACTGCTCTGGAATGGAAGACTTTAACCAGCTAACCTCCTGAAGGCTTACAAGTGTCAAAAGCACTTGGGCAGACAGGCCTACTTCAGGAAACCTTACAACCTCAGAAGTTGGACACCACCCTTTATCTAGGTTTTAGGACTCTGTTAATATTTATAAGGCTTGTTGATGGTATCACGCCCTCTTAATCCCCAAAACATTCTGCTTTTACAAAGAGCAAATCCATATCAGTGAGCAGAACTCACATTCAACCCAGGATAACATTACAGAAAAGGAAAAAGGTTAGAAATGGCAGTGTACAATTTTCTCGTATTTTACATTCTAAAAATAAGTAATTCCAGGTGTCACATGACCACGTGTTTACCAAACATTTCCTGATATCAGTCATGTAAAAAGCTACAACACATTAAATGTCTCATAACCAAGTATCTCAAGAAATCCTTAAATTATGTGTAATGTTTAAAATAGATACATAACTCTAGAGAGAAGAAAAATGAAACGTGGCCAAAGTTTTTTCTGGTCTTTCAGTAATCTGTTCGATTTAAACAAAATGAGATACACTGCAAGTACAATGCAATGACAACTCACATACAAAACCTTTCTACAAATGCTCCAGAAGTAACCCTATAAATGAGTCCGTGCATAACTTTCCTACAATCTTTTTACTAGACAATTATCTTAACTAGTATCTTAAGGACAAATTACACTGTACTAACTTAACATTCACCAGAAGTCTTCTAAAACCAAAATCAAGATGTACTTAGCACAATGTAGATGGAATCCATTCCAAGAAAGGCAACCATTTCATACTCCTAAATGTAAAATGTCGCATAATTCAATATAAACATGCACACACATAATTAGGTAGCTAGCCTCAAGCCCCAGAATCTTAGTAATTCCTTCACCAACTTTGCATATAATCCTTACTCAAAGCCTCTTGGGTGAGTTAAATCCCAAACCACTGCAGCAGGTCAACTGCAACAGCACATGTGCCAAGAATATTAGTGGTTTTCCTTACACTCCCATTTTAAACGGGCACCTACTTGCAATTAAATCTGCAAACAACAAAAAAAGTTCACCCGAGGGCATTCTTGCCCGTTTACTAGAGGCCCAGCTTTTTCTACCTGTCTGCGGTCTCGCTTCAGCTGTAACAGCATACCTCCAAAGGGGCTGGACGAGCACCAGCAAACCAGACCTGCTGCTCACTCTGCTCGTCACTCCTGGCCAGAAGTGCACCCTAACGCGTATACCTTTATAGGGGTGGTGCGTGTGCGTGTGTGCGCGCGCCCGCGCTGGGGGGCGGAGCTGAGGATGCGGGTTATCGAAGTGGCTCAACACTTTCAACTTGTTAACAGAAGCTCCTTAAATGAGAAAAAAGCAAAACAAAAACAAATCACTGCCGCCCTTCCTCCACCTCTTCAAGCGCGGGAACGCCCGCCGCCCGCCCAGTGCGCGCCCTCCGGGCTAAGGCGCTGGGGCCGCACTGCCGAGAAGTCCCACCGCGCGCCTTCCCGCCGCGGGGTCACCCAAGGCCTCCCCGCCCCGCCCCGCAGGATTACCTCGCCGGCGGCCTGCCTTGTGCTCCAGCCCTCCGCAAAGCAGCCGGGCCCGGCCGCCGCGAGCTCGGGGGTCCGCCGCAGCCGCCTCTTAAGCGCCGCTCGGTCCGGAGGGGAGGGCTCGACACGGGCAGGGGCGTGAGGAGGGAGCGAGGGAGGGACCTGGACACCGAGCAGCAGGAAGCGGCGACACTTGGGGCTCCGAAGCCTTTCGCTCTCGCAGTTTTAGAAAATTAATTTAAATCTCCTCCATTTCCTCCCCGCCACCCGCCCCTCACCCGGGCGACCGTTAGGGGCTGGCGGCTCGCGCTCCGGCGGGACTGACCGAAGTCCCCGCGAGCTGCCTCGCCCCCGACCGAGCCCCGCCCCAGTCCCCGCCCAGTCCCCGCCCCGAGCGCCCCTCAAGGCCCGCCTCCCCCAGGGCCCTGGTCCCGCCCCTCCAGCCCCCGCCCCCGACCGCCCATCACAGGCCCTCCTCCTCCTGGCCCCGCCCCGAGCGCCCCTTCAGCGTTCCGGCTGAGCCCCCGAAGCCCCTTTCCGAGCTGCCAGCTCCGCGGCTTCGGGGTCGTGAGTGCCGCTAGGGCCTCGCGCTCGGCAGTCGTAGCAGGCGCGGCCTGGCGCTTCGACTGTCTTGCTCGGCCGTGCATCGCCCACCCCCCACCCCGACGCAAACCCGGCCGCCAGGGGGAGGAGGGCGCCTCGGAAACGTCCACGGCCGGCCTGGGGGCGAGCCCCCCATGCGCGAGCTGGACCGCCGCCGGGGTCGGGGCGCCCTGAGGGCCCGGATTTTCTCGCTGCGCCTTTGCCTTTGGGGACGCGCGCCCGCCCGGGCCGCCCCGCGTGGCTCCTCTCCGGGTAACCTTACAGAGCTGACCTCTGGGAGGCCCGGAGCCGAGGCGCTGCCTCGCAGCCCGAAAATGAACCCGAGGCCGCCAGACTTTGCAGCACTCAATCGCAGAGCTGGGGATCCAGCCACAGGTGACACCAGGCCGCCCGCCCCGCCGCCGGACACGTCCCTCATCCTGGCCTGGTCTCGAAATAGACCTCCCCGCCGCGCGCTCCCCCGCCGCCCACGGCTGGCACGGCTCTCCCGCACCCGGTCCTGCAGCACAGCCCTCCCCGCGTCGCCCCGCGCCGCGCCGTGACTCACGGCCCCTCGGGGCAGCCCCACCCTGCCAGAGAACAAACTTCGTTCTCCACCCTTATCTCCCGTCTTCCAAGCCCTGGCGACAGGCCACTTCATTTCCTTCCTCATCTGCAGACGCCTCGAATACCACACACCATCCCCCTCATCTCCATCCCCTCCCTGGCCCCTAAAAATTTGCCAATTAAATGTAGTTTCCTCTTCCCCCATATGAAGTGTGGAAAATGAATCTTGTCTTGGCACAAGCTGTGATTCATTTATCCTCGTTTTCTCTTTCCAGTGCACGGAGGCTATAGGAATTTTAATCCACCACCGGCTCCCATTTGTTCAAAAATCTAACCGTGCCTTGTTTTGAAATATTCCTAAACAGTCGTGGGGAGGGAAGACTTCCTGGCTTTAGAGAGGAAACAATATTTAGAAAATGCTCGGCTTGTCATTTTATTCGGCATTTAAAAATATCTGCAGTGTTACAGAGAGATATTGGGAGTGGCTGGATGTTTTCTTGCATTTAAAAAGCAAAGAAGGGGGGAGCTTTGCGTGCATCAAGATTAGCCTTTTAATGAATAGTGCACACACGAAATATGCCGAGGGCACCTCTCAGATTCTAGTCTTCACTATACAGGGCATTTGCCAGTCACAAACCTAGACCCCACCATTACCAAAGGAAAACAGATTCACACAGTCGTTTTAAGCCTGTCTGATGAGCAGTCTTTGCCACGACCATGCCCTTTCCCACAGTTCCTGAGCAAAATGGGTAAACGACCTGCTTACCGCTGAAGATGCAAAGCCTTCGGGTGTGCAGGGCAGCAGTCAGCAGTCGTATGCCTGTCTTCCTTTCCTTAATGTGGATTCTGCAGTGCTGGCTGCACTGAAACCCACTGCAGCCTCAGAGCGGCGACGGCAGCTGATCCCAGTGCTGAGTAGTAAAGAGTATGACTTGGAGACTCCGCAATTACCATCAGCCACTTGCTTCTAAGAGAGGAGGGGGAATCTTTCTTAAAGGAAAGGGTTTCGGTTTTCCTCTCCACTGTTGCTTCACAAGAGAGGGAAAGGGTGGAATCAAGGAGTTTTTCTAGACCGAGTAAAGCAGTACAGCTGTGGGAGGTCAAGGTTAAAATTAACTGGGTGATTGTGGGACAGAGGCACTGATTTTAGTGCGAGTCAATGAATCGCTAGAAGCACTGGTTTTAAAGAGCCGTGCCAACTTTAGACATTGAAGTTAATAGCAGAAATAAAGATGTGTACCTTGGAACTGTAGCAATCTGTGCTAATATTTAATTTCTAATCATTGTGCATCATTATAGAAATGCTATTTGAAACTGAATACAAGAATAATAAACTAACGTGAGTGGCAGCAATAGATTCAAGTCCTGCTGACACCTACAAGCATATCAGGAATTTCAATGAATGCTAGTATTAGAAAATATATTATTGACAATTCAGTATATATTCACATGTTATAAAAATCACAATGAACTATGTTATATCTAAATTTTAGAAAATGATAAGAGTACTGCGCTAATTTCAGTGGCGATTCAACGGTCTGCAAAATTAAACACAAGTGCCTTAGGTTACTTTAAATGTGTATGAATATTATTTAGACTATTAAAATGTCTAAATAGTCTGCATTATAAACCTAAACTTTATTTTTAATAATATTCCTTGATTTAAGGACTGAGCGTCTATGACTTTTGTTTGCATAGGTGAATGTAGAGGTGTGTTCTCAAAATACAAAGAGAGAAAAGTATGGAAAATATTCTGCTGTTAATTTTCTTTGCACAACCTTTGTTGATTACCTATGTAGTCTTGAGTAAGTAGGTAACCTCATTTGGTCTTTAGTTCCCTATTTTGTAGAATGTGGACAATGGATTAAAATTTCCTAAGGTCATTTCACATTCCAAAATACTGTCATTTTATGACTTCATATGTGTGTATTTTGATTATTCAATGCAAGTATCTCCAACTCTACTTTTCCTGAAAACATGGATTAAAATAAACATTTAAAATGTATAACCACCATTTGTTATTCACTGCTAATTTGAAATTATTTTGTGAAATTTTGTAAAATGAATAAACTTACTTTCATGTGAATTATGATTGCATACCCAACTACGACCAGTTTTTCTGAAGCAGAACCCAAACTCCATATTGTTAAGGGTACCAGCTGACTGGAGTAATTTAGTGTGTGTTAAATATAACTGAGACATTCACCATCCTCAGATGATAGAATTGGAACATGTTTTAGAGCGCACCTACTGCAAATCTGTAATTTTACAAGTGGGGAACATAGAAACTTGGAAGAGCAAAATAGGAACAGTATTAGGAACAGAGCTGGGATTAACTTCACTCTACACACAAAGCAAATAAATTCACAATACTTATGAACACTCACATTTGGGGCCAGGCAGGACCAGTCAAAACAACAGAAAATGACTACACTCAAGACACTCTGTGCGGGCAGTATAAACTAAAGAAACCTATTCAACAAGGACTGACAGTGCACATCAGTGTTAGTACAGAGTCTGCCTTCAGGTTTGGAGGTTTATGCTAGTAAGAGAAGAAATTTTTCCAGGAAAATGTTTTTAAAAAAGGAAGAAGATGACGACCACCTTGGGGAACCCATACCACCAATGAGCATATTCTTGCTTATCTTCCAACCAAATGACAAGAACTTCAGCCACTCTGGGGAATATTTCTTTGTACCTGTTCTCGCCTCTTTCCTTCTGTCTACATCCTCAACCATGCCTACCTAGAGGAAAAGTTCTTTTTTGCAGTCAGGGAGGGAAAATGTTACAGAAAATTATTTCTGACCTTCTGAAATACTTTTTGGCTATTGAAAGCTTTGTGCTCTGCACGAACATTTTCCCTGAAATCTTGATCTGGTTATTCCTAGGTGGGAACCTGCACTAACCTGAGCCCAGTCAACCTAGTTTCAGGGTTAAAATCTGCATTATATTAGATGATATAGCAAATTTCTTGTTTTGTGTACCTGGCAGGTACACAGTTTATCACCTTCAGTAAAAAGGAAAAAAAAAAAGCCTCCTACAGGGAGAGAATGGAAGGAAATTAGTTGCCTAGTTTTGCATCAGTTGTTATTTTGCTTCTCTGCAAGGAAGTTTTTCATTTCACCTACAAAGTGATAAAGATCAATGAATAAAGTGATGATTATCTCTATAATTCAAAGTAAGCACCCTGAAAAACTTAAAATGCATTTCTTTGTATCTTCCCAAAATATAAAGCGGTTTCTTATACAAAAACACCTAATAGATACTTTTTAAACATGAATGCACGATTTAATGAGTGAATTGCCCCCAAATACCCTGAAACTGATTACAAAGTGTTTTTGTTTGTTTTTAATTTGCATTGTCCAAAACAACTGACTCCATTTTACACTTCCCTTTTCCAACACAGCCATGATCTGAAAGACACAACCTCCTTTCTGTGGAGCTCTTTAGGCAGGCCTGATTTGTATTCTCCAATTAAATTGTAGCCACAAATCTCCACATGAACCCTGGGTAGATCAAGCAGTAGCAGAGACACTTCCTGCCAAGAAAACACAGGCTTAAGTTTCAAATCCTGGTGTTCTCCTTCTAGCTGTGACACCAACGGGTTATGTGACTTTGAACAAGTTTCTTGACATGTTTGTGCCTTTGTTTAGCCATCTTTTAAGTGGTGCTTGTAGATTATAATGCCTGCTCTACCTATTTCATAGGGCTGTTGTGAAACTCAAATGAGATATAAATGTAAAACTGCTTTGAACTTTTCAAAGCACAACGTAAGTATAAGGTATTATTATAGGCTGATGTATTTTGAATCATTTTTCTGGTTCAAGGGACTTTACCCTAAATAACCTGTTTTACTACTTATTGTTTTAGAAACCAAACAAGTTTATCTCTCTTCTCTCACTCTGTACACACACACACACACACACACACACACACAAACACACACCCCTGCTGTTCCCAATTTAACAACTTCTCAGCTTTGAGGATTTCCCCCTGGGTTGGGAAATATGCATCTGCAGTTGAAAATGAAGACCCAAGAGTTTATAGAGTTCTCTCTCCCTATCCCACCCCTGTCCAAATTTACCTTTTCAAAATTCTCAGACAAGAAAATAAACTTAATGAAGCACAGCAGCCTTTTCACACTATGTAGTGTCATATATTTATCAGTGGGCTAGATGAGCTGTTCATCT